TGTTGTTGTTGTTGTTATTGTAACAAGTATTTAAGAGATACACAAATGACTATTAAATTGCTTGTACTTGTATTCATACTCAACGTAGTAAATTTTGCTACAACTAAATGAATGAATGGATGGATGGACGTTTGAATATTTTACTAAATGATTGTATTTGAATGAGTGACTGTTGTGAGTGAGTGTGACGTTCTGTCCATCTGTAGTATGGAGGTTTTTTTTTCTATATAAGTATGTATATATGTATTTATCAGTCCATTTGTCTATCTATCTGCCTGCCTGCCTATTTATTTGTCTAGTATATTGAATTGTATTAGAACACAACGACTGACTATTTGCTAAAAATGTGAGTGAGTGGTGAAATTGCACTTTGTATTTGATTTAGAATGACGCATAATATTTAATACGTTATAAATGAGGCATCTAACAAGAATCGTATACAATTCAATTGATAAGATACACACAGATACACTTATAATTTGAAAACAGAAAAAAACATTTACAGTCGTTGAAATAATTATAAAGAATGTCTAAATAAAATTAGAACTGGACTATTTTAAACATAGAACTATTTTATAGACAAGTAAAAATATTTGGATCTTATTCTATCCAGTGATAACTTTGGAACTAATAAATGAATAACAATTGAAGCCTAGAGATCTTGAAAGACTTCGAAGGGATACATTGCGATATCCGAGGTCTGAGAGATGGTGTGTAAAGCCACACACTAATGGCGCTGGGGTAATGTTTTGTATATGGTGAGACCAAAAGACTGCTGTCTACTATGAACAACTGAAATTTGTCTAGACCATCAGAGAAAACGTATACCGAATGTAACTGATTCATTTGGAGCGGCCATTGGTCCGCCTAATAGACAGACCTTGCCGCACCCGACCACAATTTGTTTCTATCGATGCAGTACGCTCTCACGTGGACACGTTTCATTTCTGGACATAGTAGCGAATGAGGCTTGATTCATTCTTAACTGATAAGGCCATTTACTAGAAGGACAGAAATGTAGAAAGGTCAGTTCCACATATACCGTTATCGGCACCGAAACTGTTCCGAACAAATGTATGGAATTTAATTTTTGGGGGCGGAGAGAGGTTAATTAGTTAGGTAGTTAGTTAGTTAGTTAGTTAGTTAGTTAGTTAGTTAGTTAGTTAGTTAGTTAGTTAGTTAGTTAGTTAGTTAGTTAGTTAGTTAGTTAGTTAGTTAGTTAGTTAGTTAGTTAGTTAGTTAGTTAGTTAGTTAGTTAGTTAGTTAGTTAGTTAGTTAGTTAGTTAGTTAGTTAGTTAGTTAGTTAGTTAGTTAGTTAGTTAGTTAGTTAGTTAGTTAGTTAGTTAGTTAGTTAGTTAGTTAGTTAGTTAGTTAGTTAGTTAGTTAGTTAGTTAGTTAGTTAGTAGTTAGTTAGTTAGTTAGTTAGTTAGTTAGTTAGTTAGTTAGTTAGTTAGTTAGTTAGTTAGTTAGTTAGTAGTTAGTTAGTTAGTTAGTTAGTTAGTTAGTTAGTTAGTTAGTTAGTTAGTTAGTTAGTTAGTTAGTTAGTTAGTAGTTAGTTAGTTAGTTAGTTAGTTAGTTAGTTAGTTAGTTAGTTAGTTAGTAGTTAGTTAGTTAGTAGTTAGTTAGTTAGTTAGTTAGTTAGTTAGTTAGTTAGTTAGTTAGTTAGTTAGTTAGTTAGTTAGTTAGTTAGTTAGTAGTTAGTTAGTTAGTTAGTTAGTTAGTTAGTTAGTTAGTTAGTTAGTTAGTTAGTTAGTTAGTTAGTTAGTTAGTTAGTTAGTTAGTTAGTTAGTTAGTTAGTTAGTAGTTAGTTAGTTAGTTAGTTAGTTAGTTAGTTAGTTAGTTAGTTAGTTAGTTAGTTAGTTAGTTAGTTAGTTAGTTAGTTAGTTAGTTAGTTAGTTAGTTAGTTAGTTAGTTAGTTAGTTAGTTAGTTAGTTAGTTAGTTAGTTAGTTAGTTAGTTAGTTAGTTAGTTAGTTAGTTAGTTAGTTAGTTAGTTAGTTAGTTAGTAGTTAGTTAGTTAGTTAGTTAGTTAGTTAGTTAGTTAGTTAGTTAGTTAGTTAGTTAGTTAGTTAGTTAGTTAGTTAGTTAGTTAGTTAGTTAGTTAGTTAGTTAGTTAGTTAGTTAGTTAGTTAGTTAGTTAGTTAGTTAGTTAGTTAGTTAGTTAGTTAGTTAGTTAGTTAGTTAGTTAGTTAGTTAGTTAGTTAGTTAGTTAGTTAGTTAGTTAGTTAGTTAGTTAGTTAGTTAGTTAGTTAGTTAGTTAGTTAGTTAGTTAGTTAGTTAGTTAGTTAGTTAGTTAGTTAGTTAGTTAGTTAGTTAGTTAGTTAGTTAGTTAGTTAGTTAGTTAGTTAGTTAGTTAGTTAGTTAGTTAGTTAGTTAGTTAGTTAGTTAGTTAGTTAGTTAGTTAGTTAGTTAGTTAGTTAGTTAGTTAGTTAGTTAGTTAGTTAGTTAGTTAGTTAGTTAGTTAGTTAGTTAGTTAGTTAGTTAGTTAGTTAGTTAGTTAGTTAGTTAGTTAGTTAGTAGTTAGTTAGTTAGTTAGTTAGTTAGTTAGTTAGTTAGTTAGTTAGTTAGTTAGTTAGTTAGTTAGTTAGTTAGTTAGTTAGTTAGTTAGTTAGTTAGTTAGTTAGTTAGTTAGTTAGTTAGTTAGTTAGTTAGTTAGTTAGTTAGTAGTTAGTTAGTTAGTTAGTTAGTTAGTTAGTTAGTTAGTTAGTTAGTTAGTTAGTTAGTTAGTTAGTTAGTTAGTTAGTTAGTTAGTTAGTTAGTTAGTTAGTTAGTTAGTTAGTTAGTTAGTTAGTTAGTTAGTTAGTTAGTTAGTTAGTTAGTTAGTTAGTAGTTAGTTAGTTAGTTAGTTAGTTAGTAGTTAGTTAGTAGTTAGTTAGTTAGTTAGTTAGTTAGTTAGTTAGTTAGTTAGTTAGTTAGTTAGTTAGTTAGTTAGTTAGTTAGTTAGTTAGTTAGTTAGTTAGTTAGTTAGTAGTTAGTTAGTTAGTTAGTTAGTTAGTTAGTTAGTTAGTTAGTTAGTTAGTTAGTTAGTTAGTTAGTAGTTAGTTAGTTAGTTAGTTAGTTAGTTAGTTAGTTAGTTAGTTAGTTAGTTAGTTAGTTAGTTAGTTAGTTAGTTAGTTAGTTAGTTAGTTAGTTAGTTAGTTAGTTAGTTAGTTAGTTAATTAGTTATTTACTTCCTTCGAAAGTCCTCTATCGGGCCTGTTGCGCACTCCTTAACATGAATTTCGTTTGGGAATCGAACCTACTTTCTTCGGACTCATATATCTAATCAAGTAATTTCGAAGAATATTTTATTGGAACTGGGCCTAATTATAGGTACTGACCGTAAAATTTTAAATAAATGTTGATCCGTACAGATCCGATCGCACATAGCGTTTTAAAATATTATATGCACCTTTTATTGGTTTGGGGTCTGAAAACATATGAACCTTATAATTATTTCACCCACTTTATACATGTTGATAATAGCGCAAATATTAACAAGTCACAATAATTTATATTGCCCCCTCGAAGAAGAATATGGGGTTTCCTCAAACACAATAAGAGATACTTAAATAAAACGGCAAAAAAGGGCGAAGAAATTATTAAGAATGGTGGTGAGTACTTGTTTCAAACAAAATTAGGGCATTTAAGTATTTCAACCACACGAATCGACAAGTTTACGTCATAAATGAAGAAGCCAATTTTTTTTTTTTTTTTTTTTGGTCTTGTTGCTAAAACTACTCAATATGACTATGCAAGTATGTAGTATACGGAATAGAATACGGGCGGTCTATTCAAACGTCTGTCAGTCTGCTTGACTGTCTATTCACATATTCGTAAGTTAATCCATAACATATTCCATACAATAATTTAGGTCATAATAAACTGTGGCTCTCATATTCCTCTCAAATTCTTTTTCTCTTACCCCGGATAGCTGGATTTTGATGATGTTGCTATTGGTTACAATAACAACGCGATGCTTTAAAGGACTTAACGGCGTCATCAAGACAAAAAGTATCTAGATACAATAGTTAAATGTAAGACTTGAAATTATCAAAATAACATGTTCACATGTCATGTAGTTTTCTTTTTTTTTATTATTATATTTTACTTCTCACTGTTTTCTGAAAATAAACGTACTTGAAATGAAAAACTTAAAAATTATGGAATAGGAAATACGACAACCACAGCACAATACATAATAATAAAAAATGAATCGAAATAGGAAAAAAATATGTTGTAAGAGGAAAAAAAAAACATAGAAATGGATTTATGAAAATATGCTAATTTAACAAAAGGCAATCATACAACGACTGACTTTACCAGACAACTTTGTATATATGTATTATGTATTTATGTATGGACTGTAACTATATGCCACATGAAGTATCGGTTTAAGATTAACAGCCACAAAAAACACACTCATACTTATAAACATCAAAGTGTTTTTTCTTCTCTGAAGTTATACTTCCATATAAAATTAGGTTATAAATCAAATGTCATATTAAATGTTTCACAGATATAAAGACAATTTATATTTATTTGAAAAAATTTAAATAATTGATTTTCAAAATATACTGAGGCTTTTTTTTCTGTAGATAAAAAAGTAATTTTTCATTTTGATACTGGGCTATATACTTAATCAAATGACTTTTCATTTCCAGTTGAATATTTGATTTTCTTAAAAAAATATAACATGATTTATAAATAATATAAGTAAATTATATTTTGGAATTTTATCAGTTATAAATTAATAAATTAAGCATATAGCTTAACATTAATATCTGGGTGATTTTCTGAAGATTACCTTTTATAGGGTATTGGATCAATTATGAACTGAACGCTACAGAATTTCGATATATAATGGGCTATACTGAGGTATATAGTCTGAACTATAGGCTAGTCCAGACTATAGGCTAGACTATATTTCAGATCCAAAATATAAAATAGTCTATTGTTTTATAATATACTGTAGGACCCCTAGTTTTATTATATCTTATTAATAATATTTTTTCTTTTACAGATTCCACTGTCTTATAAATCTGACTGACCATATTACTGGTCCTAAGCTATAAAAGTAAGTTTAAAATGAAATGAAAACATTTTATTGTGTTCCCAAAAGATCAGGAACAATTCTAGTTATTATTAACAAACTCACTCCTACTAGTCCCCTTAATCTAATTCAATTTTAGATAACAAATTTTACATCGCGTGTAACATAATCCTAATAAATTATTATCTTACTTCCTTATCGATTTATATTTTAATATTTATGATTTTAAGTTGTCATAAAACTAAACGTTATTCACCCTAAATTTTTCTTTAACTCCATAATCATATTTCCTTAATTGTAAGGTCCACTTGAAGGTGTTGTATTACGCCAAAGGGTTAAGTTGTTAAGGCCAGGATATCATAGGAAAATCAAGACAAAACAAATTGCCACATTAAGCCATCCAATATGAAAAATCTCTGCAGACCCATCTAGACGAAGAGACATTAAGGAAGCACATTTAAGTTTTTAACAAAAAGAAAAGGGTGTGTTTCGAAAAGGTGTAATAAAGGAGACGTCTATAGTCATGACTATAGATCAGTCTAAAGTCATGGCTAGTATTGAGTATTGACTATAGAAAAACTTATATTCTACACCATAGATTAGTCGATAGTCTGGACTATAGAGAAGTCAGTCTATAGTCTTGGCTATAGATCAGTCTATAGTCTTGACTGTTGATCAGTCCATAGTCTTGACTATAGATCAGTTGATAGTCTTAACTTGGCTATAGATCAGTCTATAGTCATATAGTCTTGACTATAGAGAAACTTATATTCTAGACCATAGATCAGTCGATAGTCTTGACTATAGATCAGTCTATAGTCTTGACTATAGATGAGTCTATAGCCTTTACTATAGATTAGTCTATAGTCTTGACAATATATTAATATATAGTCTTGACTATAGATCAGTCTATACTCTTAGTCTTATAGTCTTAACTATAGATCAGTCTATATTCTTGACTATAGATCAGTCTATAGTCTTGACTATAGATCAGTCTATAGTCTTGACTATAGATTAGTCCACAGTCTTGACTATAGATTAGTCTTTATTCTAGACTAAAGATTAACCTATAGTATTGATTATAGTATTGACTATATATGAGTCTACAGTCTTGACTATAGATCAGTCTATAGTCTTGACAATACATCAGTCTATAGTCTTGACTATAGATTAGTCTATAGTCTTTACTATAGATTAGTCTATAGTCTTTACTATAGATTAGTCTATAGTCTTGTCTATAGATCAGTCCATAGTCTTGATTATAGATCAGTCTATAATTTCGAATATAGATTAGTCTTTATTCTTGTCTAAAGATTAGTCTTAATTTTTGACTATAGATTAGTCTATAGTCTTGACTATAGATCAGTCTATAGTCTTGACTATAGATCAGTCTATAGTCTTGACTATAGATCAGTCTATAGTCTTGACTATAGATCAGTCTATAGTCTTGACTATACATCAGTCTATAGTCTTGACTATAGATCAGTCTATAGTCTTGACTATAGATCAGTCTATAGTCTTGACTATAGATCAGTCTATAGTCTTGACTATAGATCAGTCTACAGTCTTTACTATAGATCAGTCTATAGTCTTGACTATAGATCAGTCTATAGTCTTAACTATAGATCAGTCTATTTTCTTGACTATAAATCAGTCCACAGTCTTGACTATAGATTAGTCTTTATTCTAGACTAAAGATTAATCTATAGTATTGATTATAGTATTGACAATATATGAGCCTACAGTCTTGACTATAGATAAGTCTATAGACTCGACTATAGAACAATCTGTACTCATTGCTATAGATCAATCAATAGTCTTGACTATTAATCAGTATACAGTCTTCACTATAGATCAGTCTACAGTCTTGTTTATAGATCAGTCTACTGTCTTGGCTATAGATCAGTATATGATGTATATTCAGTATATGACCGATACTATTTTTGTTATAGATCTTTTTGTAAAACCCTTTGAAACAAAAACACAGGTTCTGCAGGATTTTTTTGTTTCGTATTTTATTTATATTTATAAAGCAGCCAAAGTGGCAACATCGTCATCGCCAACAATAGCAACAACTGTTGCAAGTGCAACAACAACAACATCATCATTGAATATTTCTTAAACACATGTAACACCTGGCTTTTTATTTTGTAAATAAAAATGTTATTGCTGCTGTTGTGTTGTTGCTCTTGATGTTGTTGTTATTGTTATTGTTGTTGCTGCAATTGTTGTGGTACGAGTATCTTGTGGTCAACTAGAGTAATGTGTTCACATTCATAGAGCGTAAATGGGAATCTCTAGGCAGACATCTGATTGCCATTCCATGGTCTGTAGCTGTGTCTGTCTGATTTTTTCTGATTTTGTTACGTTGTTGTTGTTGCCTCTGCTGTCTGTCCGACAGTATACTCAACGTTTAAACTAAGTTGTAGCGATTGTTTACTGGCTGCTGCATTGCTATGATTGTTGTTGTTGTTGCTGCTGTGGCTACTACTAGCACGTCTGTGCAACATATGACAGGTGCGTGTATAAGAAAACTTATGCAAAAAAATGCAACAACGGCAGCAACAATTTACAGATGCATTGCCAACAAAAAAAATCTAAACTTGTGGTATGCAAGTACGAGTAAGCGAGTGCGTTTTATTAAAGTTTGTGTGTTGGACTAAAGTCTGTGTGTCTTTGCCGCAAAGTTGTTTTTTCTTTGTTGCTGTTGTTGTTGATATTGCAATTTTTATTATTATTATTGTAGTTGTCGTTGTTGTTGCTGCTGTAACGTCATACCGGTTAGTTGTTTTCATTTGACAGATATTTACAAACAAATGCAACAACAAACAAAGTAAAAAATCCAACATTATAAATGTTTCTACACTGGCAAACAAAATGCAACAAGGTTTTAATGTTTTAGCGCAAAAAGCGCAATCGTTTCATTGCAACATTGTTGCTGACACTGAAATTTGAAACTTCACACAACAACTACAACAAATTGCTTTTATTTACGAAATGACATTTTGCTTCATTAAACTTTAATGTTTAATCAAGTGAAAGAGTGTCCACTGACCTTGACGAGTAGATTTAAATTTATAGTCCCACGCAGGTATGGCATAAAAAAAGTGCAATAGATGTCTTTTTCTCTCTGACGTTGGTGAAAGGGTGTCAAAACGTAACTGACATTTTGATGTTTTTTTAAATGTGAAATGATATTAATTACAATCTTTATAGATTATAGAGAAATTGATTTGCATTTTCATGTGTGAAAAAAGTACTAGTTACCTGAAGACTTCCTTTCATCTTTGTTAAAAGAAAGATCTCAGGGGGCCCTAAAAGCTGTACAAAATTTTTGGATTAGCATTCCTTAAAACCTACCCCAAACTTTACTTAGGCTTACAGCACAACGAATACAACGAATATGTTTCAGGGTTTGCTAATCCGACTAATTTTGCAAATCTGTTAGGACCTCGTGAGAATCTTCAACGTACAGGAGATGATCCATACTGATGCAGTGATTAGATAAGATATAGATTAGACTATAGACTAGACTAGATTATGGACTAGACTATAGACTAGACTAGATTATAGACTAGATTATGGACTAGACTATAGACTAGACTATAGACTAGACTATAGACTAGACTATAGACTATACTATAGACTAGACTATAGACTAGACTAGAGTAGACTAGAGTAGACTATAGACTAGACTATAGACTAGACTATAGACTAGACTATAGACTAGACTATAGACTAGACTATAGACTAGACTATAGACTAGACTATAGACTAGACTATAGACTAGACTATAGACTAGACTATAGACTAGACTATAGACTAGACTATAGACTAGACTATAGACTAGACTAGACTAGACTATAGACTAGACTATAGACTAGACTATAGACTAGACTATAGACTAGACTATAGACTAGACTATAGACTAGACTATAGACTAGACTATAGACTAGACTATAGACTAGACTATAGACTAGACTATAGACTAGACTAGACTATAGACTAGACTATAGACTAGACTATAGACTAGACTATAGACTAGACTATAGACTAGACTATAGACTAGACTATAGACTAGACTATAGACTAGACTATAGACTAGACTATAGACTAGACTATAGACTAGACTATAGACTAGACTATAGACTAGACTATAGACTAGACTATAGACTAGACTATAGACTAGACTATAGACTAGACTATAGACTAGACTATAGACTAGACTATAGACTAGACTATAGACTAGACTATAGACTAGACTATAGACTAGACTATAGACTAGACTATAGACTAGACTATAGACTAGACTATAGACTAGACTATAGACTAGACTATAGACTAGACTATAGACTAGACTATAGACTAGACTATAGACTAGACTATAGACTAGACTATAGACTAGACTATAGACTAGACTATAGACTAGACTATAGACTAGACTATAGACTAGACTATAGACTAGACTATAGACTAGACTATAGACTAGACTATAGACTAGACTATAGACTAGACTATAGACTAGACTATAGACTAGACTATAGACTAGACTATAGACTAGACTATAGACTAGACTATAGACTATACTATAGACTAGACTATAGACTAGACTATAGACTAGACTATAGACTAGACTATGACTAGACTATAGACTAGACTATAGACTAGACTATAGACTAGACTATAGACTAGACTATAGACTAGACTATAGACTAGACTATAGACTAGACTATAGACTAGACTATAGACTAGACTATAGACTAGACTATAGACTAGACTATAGACTAGACTAGAGACTAGACTATAGACTAGACTATAGACTAGACTATAGACTAGACTATAGACTAGACTATAGACTAGACTATAGACTAGACTATAGACTAGACTATAGACTAGACTATAGACTAGACTATAGACTATACTATAGACTAGACTATAGACTAGACTATAGACTAGACTATAGACTAGACTATAGACTAGACTATAGACTAGACTATAGACTAGACTATAGACTAGACTATAGA